ACGTTCGCGGTGGTGGACATCAAATGTGCCCACAACGCCATTTTGGGCCGACCAGGATTGAAAGATCTCAAGGCAATAGCCTCTGTCCGGCATTCGTGCATTAAATTCCCGACGGATACTGGAGTCGGAGTGGCTCGGACACACCTGGAGACAACCCGGACATGCTATAGGGAGGCTATGAAGAAGATCAATACCTGAGGAATGCGGGTAAACAACATTGAGGTTGAGACTCGTCGAACGGAGTTCGAGGCACATCCTGAGCCGACTACTCTCTTGGAGCACATCGACATTGACTCTCCCCCGACCGGAAAGTAGCGATCGGGGTGGACCTGGAGGCTGAAATCCGAGAAGGTGTGATCGTGGTTCTGAAGAAGTTTCAGATTTTGTTTGCCCGAGGATCAGAAGACATACCGGACATTAACCCGGAAATAATGTGTCACAAGCTGGCCGTTCGGCCTGACGCCAAGCCAGTTCAACAAAAGAAAAGATATTAGGCGGCCGAACGGCGTGAGTTTACAAAACAGGAGGCGGCCACTTTGCTAAGAATTAAACATATTAGACCTGTGATCCATGTGGAATGGTTGGCAAATGTGGTACTAGCCCCAAAAGGATCTACTTGGAGGATGTGCGTCGATTATTCTGACCTGAACAAAGCCTGTCCGATGGACCCTTATCCGATGCCTCAGATCGATCTATTAGTAGATGAAACGGCCGGGTGCGAACTCTTAAGTTTCATGGATGCCTTCCGGGGGGTATCACCAAGTTTTCATGCACCCTATTGACACAAAGACAACAACATTCATCACCTCGGACGAGGTATTTTGTTATATTGTGATGCCGTTCGGGTTAAAGAATGCGATGTCAACATTTCAAAGGGTGATTGGGATGCTCTTCAAAGAAGTATTGGGGTTACCATGGAGGCATATGTAGATGACATCCTGATCAAAAGCAAGAAGAAGGAGGATCATGTCCAGGATATGGAGAGAGTGTTCGACATCATGCAGAAGGCGAATATGAGGTTGAACCCCCAAAAGTGCGCCTTTGCAATTAAGGGAGGCAAGTTTTTGGGGTATATGATGAGCGAGATGGGTATTGAGTCGAACCCTGAGAAAGTAAAGGCAATCGTGGACATGAAGGCACCGAGGAATCTAAAAGAGGTTCAGAGGTTGACTGGTCGGCTGGCAGCACTGAGCAGGTTCCTTTCAAAATTAGCCGATCGGGCAATACCTTTTTTTCCAAATCATGAAGAAGGCCAACCCATTTGAATGGACAACAGAGTGTCAAGCGCCCTTTGAGGATTTCAAGGCTTATTTATCTTTCCCCTGGTTCTAACCAAGGAAGACCCGGGGAACATTTGTACATGTACCTGGCTGTGGCCGATCTCGTAGTGAGTTCAGTGTTATTGAAGGAAGACAATGGCATCCAACGACCAATTTACTTTGTGAGCAAAGCACTGAACGGGCCGGAAACCAGATGCACCTTGATGGAAAAAATAGTGTTGGCCCTGATAGCGGCAATCAAACGCCTTGCCCCATATTTCCAGGCTCATCCAGTGACCGTTTACATGACCCAACCACTGGCAACTATATTGAGGAACCCGATGGCCAGTGGGCGCATTACCAAGTGGGCGCTCCTTATCGGGTAGTATGAGGTAGACTTCAAACCTCGACCCACCATCAAGGGCCAGACATTAGCAGATTTCATAGCAGAATGTACTGCTCGGCCAACAGACACTGATGCGAACAAGGAGGCCCTGGATAACTGGTGGGAGATGTACGTAGATGGTGCATCAAATGCAAATGGTTGTGGTGGCGGAGCAGTAATCATATCACCTGAAGGGTTCAAGGCATACAATTCCATTCATTTTGATTTTAAAGTAACTAACAATGAGACCAAATATGAGGCCCTTATTGCAGGTTTAAAGTATGCTAGAGCCCTGGGCGCCGATCGGCTCAAGGTCCGATCAGACAGCCAGCTGGTGGTCAACCAGGCAAATGGTACAACTGATACAAAAGAAGAAAGGATGAAGGCATACACGGAGCTGGTCGAGGAGAAAATTAATAAGTTTGAACAAGTGGTGCTCGACCAGGTCTCCAGGATAGAGAATGTTGAGGCAGATATCTTATCCAAACTGGAAAATGCAGCCCTTGATGACCGGGCACAGATGATCCCAGCGCACATCCAGCGGTTTGCCCACCGGGAAACCTTGACAACAACGACAACCATGGTCCTTCAGGTGGAGGCTATCTCTTATGCCGTTCCTAGTTGGGTCACAAATTTGACCAACTACCTGAAGGACGGGGCTCTCCCAAAAGACAAGAATTCAACATATAATATTACTTGCATTCAGAAGAGGGCCTCCATGTTCGTTCTAAAGTGCCTTCCGCTCAGTCTGGCAGCTGCAGTAATGGAGGAAATTCATGAGGGTATCTGTTCAAGCCATCATGGGCCAAAGACATTGGCAAGGAAGATTATCTTGCAGGGGTACTACTGGCCAACCATCCAACAGGATTGCTTTGCACGTACAAGGAAGTGCAAGATTTGCCAGCTATATGCACCAGTTCTCGGACGGCCAGCCAGCTTCTACACTCCAATGCACATCGCTCTTCCATTTGCTAGGTGGGGGATCAACTTGCTAGGGCCCCTACCTACTGCCCCCAGAGGACGAAAGTACATCATTGTAGGGATTGATTATTTCACCAAATGGGTGGAGGCCGAACCACTTGCTAGCATCACAGATTTACAGTGCAAAAGATTCGTCTGGCAGAACATTATTTACCGGTTTGGCCTCCCCGAACAGGTCATCACAGATAACGGGATGCAGTTCGTAAGCCGGAACTTCGAGGATTTCTTAGTCAAATTGAGGATCAAGCATTCTAGAGCATCCGTAGCATATCCCCAGGCGAACGACCGTGGAAAATATGAACAGAACCATCATGGATGGTATGAAGAAAAAGCTAGAAGAATACTCCTCATCGTGGCCCGATCAATTAAACTACATCCTATGGACGTATAGGACTACATCTCGAACAGCCACAGGGGAAACACCGTTCGCCCTTGCTTATGGTTTCCAGGCCAAGGTCCAAAAAGGGGTCCTTGTCCCCACACATCGAACGATACATTATAACCCAGAATGGAATGAAGACAACCTACGTGTCGAAATGCATTTCATCGAAGAAAGAAAAGATCTAGCGGCAAGACGAATGCAAGAATACCACTGGGCCACTTGAAGGTATTTCGACAAATAGGTCAAGATACGGACAATCCAAGTAGGAGACTTGGTTCTAAGGAAGCGAGAAAAGAGCAAGCCTCTCGAAGGCGGGAAGATGGCCAAAAATTGGGAAGGCCCTTATCAGGTTGTCAAAAAGTATGCTTCAGGAACGTTTGGCCTAAACACTACCGAAGGCCGACCGGCAGGAACATGGAATGTTGAGCACTTGAGAAAGTTCTACCATTAAAAACGGCTGTTGCCACCTCTTTAAAAAAAAGGAGACATAACTTCCAGAAAAGTCTCACCTAAGCTATTAACATTGAAAACCATTCCGGACGACCGAATGGAGATCATTTGTTAAATAGTTTGGAGGGAGCCATCATCTCAGCTAAATTTTGACCCTGCACATAGCCAGGCAGGGGATTCAAAACAGTTTGGAGGTGATGTTAAACCCACGATTATGGATAATCCAAGCGGCATTCGGTAACACGGATGAGCCGAGCGGGGGATCGGAACTATGGATTTTAAATCTCGCCTCAGTCATTAGCTTCGATGAACCACGACGACATGGGATCGAAGGGTGGAATCCAAGCTATTATTGGAGGTGAGTCGCCATTTTAGTTATAAATAGGAAATGAACCGGTCAGGGGATCTTACTTATAGTTTGAAAATGGACATCTCAAACCCTTAGTATAGATAATCCGGACCGTAGGAAACCGGACGAGGCATCGGAATTATGGCTTTGAAAGATGACCTACCGATAAAGGGAATATCGGTATGTGAAACATGCATGATCGGGGCAACAATTGAAAGAATGGAGGAACTTTATTCTTCGGCACTACCGGCCGGAAAATACAAGGGAACAGTAGTACAAAAAAGCCTTTTTACATCACCTTATCTACATGTGTTATGTTAAAACTCATATAGAATACTAACACGGGGTCATTTTAATAATTTTTGTAAACTTTTTTAGATGGGTTGTTGTTATAACCCATGTTAAAAAGCAAATCAGGGTACTTTTTAAAATTTTACAAAATATTCTAAGTCGGTTATATTTGGAACCGATGTGAAAAGAAAAACGGGGTAATTTTCATAATTATCGAAACTTTATTTTATATTGGTTAAAACCAACCGATGCGGAAGAAATGAAACACCCTTTGGGGAATAAGGAATCGATCCTAAACGTCTTTGGTTCCCGGCTTTGATAGCGCATGATTTTAGCCCAAACCTAGAGCAACGCGAAGGAAAGAAGACAGAGAGACGGCGAGCGGCAGGAGTTCAATACGGACGGCGAAATCGCGACGGCTGGAGTTCAATACGGACAATGAGTTCACGACGGAAAGAAAACGGAAGATCAGTTCAACGACAGAAAGAAGACGGAAGAGCAGTTCGCGACGGAAAGAAGACGGAAGAGCAGTTTGGATAGACTTCGAGCGGCTGGAGAAATGACCTATTCCTCTGCTGCGATTACCAGTATGTTTTAACCTTCTTTCCTCATTTGTTTCGAACCATAGAATTTTGCTTTGTGACTAGTATAATCGTTTTTCAATTTCAGATTCTTTTTGTAGACTATTAAGCTCGAACACCCTCCTCCAATACCTAATCTTCCTTCTTCCTTCCCTCTCTGCTTTACCTTCTCTCTTGCCTGCAATCATCGCCTTTGTTTCCTGGGAAAAATTCCAGAAGGAATAACGACTGAGAAACTGTTAAACAACATCATGGAAACAATTTCAGATAGTGTACCAAAGCCAAGATCTGGTGCATTCTTTGAAGAGGACAAATCAAGAGCTGTCAGTGATAAATTGAATAGACTGTTTGGTCGCAAGAAGCCTGTACACCATGTTCTTGGGGGAGGCAAATTGGCTGATGTGCTACTATGGAGGAACAAGAAAATCTCAACCAGTGTTTTGGCTTCTGCCACAATTATGTGGATGTTGTTTGAATGGCTTGACTATCACCTCCTTACATTTGTTTGCTTTGCTTTGATTCTAGGAATGTTTATACAGTTTCTCTGGACTCATACTTCAGGCCTGGTGACCAGGTCTCCATCACAAGTTCCACATATTGTTTTGCTAAAAGAAGTGTTTGTCGGCATAGCAAAGACCGTAGGGGCTGAAGTCAACCGTGGTTTGGGCTTCCTTCAAAACGTCGCGTGTGGTGGAACTCCCAAGCACTTCCTAGTTGCTGTGACAAGCTTGCTGGCAGCTGTTATCATTGGAAGCTGGTGCAACTTTCTGACTGTTGTGTACCTTGGTTTTGTTGGGGCCCACACACTGCCAGTGCTCTATGAAAGATATGAGGGAAAACTATCAAATATGACCTCCTACCATATCGAATCCGTCGATTAAGCCCTCATACTTAGAAAGCACTCAATTGAACCCTTCAACTCATGGAAAAAAGTCAATTGGCATTACTAGCCGGTTGTTTCCGAGTTTCCGGTTTCAATTTCACACGTGTCAAGTGTGTGGAATTTTAATTTTATTTTCCTCATTTATCCTTCATCTGTCTGTTCATGGATTACGCAGAAAGCTCCTTGATGGATTATAGGGATCCAAACTATATAATAAATGGAGAGATTTGAGCTCAAGAATGTGGAGAAGATGAATGAATTGTGAAATTGAGACTTAGGTTTACAAGAGCTCCCTTTGGGAGTATAAATAGAGAAACGATGGGTCGGGCCACTAATATGGGCTCGATAGGCCCAATTACATAAAAGGCTAATATAGTACATACAAATGATATATGAACTCTACAATAATACAAATGATATAAATGACGTCCGATAAGCGTGAGTGGGCTGCTGTTCGGGCCCAATAGTCGTGAGACCCGGAGGTCCGAGTCTATATACTCCATCAGGAGTCCCCCACTCCCTGAGTCGAGAGTACTCGAGGCGAAAGGGAGTAGAACTGTGTGCTGATCTATCATCTGATGACGAAACTTCGTGAAAAATTTTGAATTTCTGCTTCTTGGGCTAACGGAGGCGCTAAGTCCCCCGCTCTTCCAGTCCCCCACTCCTTGAGGTGAATGTAGTGAGGTGAAGAGGAGTAGAGTAATGCATGTCTTGAATAGGGGGCCGAGGGTCGACACCTTTTGATCCACAATGGGGAGATGCCTCATTAAAAACCTCATTAGGAAAAAACCCAGTGGGAAAAAATCCTAATGAGGGAAAAAGAGTACACCGGATGCCCCCAAAATGAAGCAAAAGGGGTGAGCCCTTCGACCTAGGTGTGGAGCTGCAACGGTGTACGTCTGCTGAGGGGACTGCCGAGACCAGTCTCTAGATGTGAGTAGCTCGGCATGATAAGTAGTCCTAGTCATCAAATAAAGATGACTAAGGGATGGGTCGAGCGACCGTCCACAATATGATGTCTGGTTCATCAAATAAAGATGACCAGAACGTAAGGCCGATGGGCCGAGAGGCCTGTACGAGAGCTCCACGTTGTCGAATAAGGACGACGAGGCGATGTATGGCCGAGGGATCTGCATAGAGCTCCACGTCGTCAAATAAAGACGATTGGGCGATGTGTGCGGCCGAGGGGCCTGCATAAGAGCTCCACGTCGTCAAATAAAGACGACGGGGCGATGGGTGGCTGAGGGGCCTGCATAAGAGCTCCACGTCGTCAAATAAAGATGACGGGGCGATGTATGGCCGAGGGGCCTGTATGAGATCCACGTCATCAAATAACGATGACGGGTCGATATATGGCCGATGGGCCTATATAAGAACTCCACGACATCAAATAAAGATGGCGGGGCGATGTACGGCTGAGAGGCCTGTAGGAGAACTCCACGTCATCAAATAAAGATGACGGGGTGATGTATGGCTGAAAGAGGCCTATATGAGAGCTCCACGTCATCAAATAAAGATGACGAGGCAAGATATGGCTCAGAGGCCTACAAATGACTTCCTCATCATCAAATAAAGATGACAGAACGATATGTGGCCGATGGACCTGTAGATGAGCTCAACGTCATCAAATAAAGATGACAGAGCGAGATATGGCCGATGGGCCTGTAAATGAGCTTCGCGTCATCAAATAAAGATGATGGAGCGATATATGGCCGATGGGCCTGCAAATGAGCTCTTCGTCATCAAATAAAGATGACAGAACGATGTATGGTCGATGGGCCTGTAGATGAGCTCTTCGTCATCAAATAAAGATGATAGAGCGAGATATGGCCGACGGGCTTGTAGATGAGCTCTTCGTCATCAAATAAAGACGACAGAGCGATATATGGCCGATGGGCCTGCAAATGAGCTCTTCATCATCAAATAAAGATGACAGAGCGATATATGGCTGAACTCTGGGCTCCTTTAGCCTTTCAGCCGGAGACCGCAAGATGTTCGCTATATCTGAATAGGGGGACGAGGCGGTGGACGCCTGTCTGAATATGATGATGACGACACTGATGAGTCGGTCCGAATATGAGGACGACAGCGCTGACGAGCCGGTCCGAATATGAGGATGAGGCAATGATAAGCCGCGTGTCATATGAAGGCGACGGTCACCATCCAGGAAGGGATTGGCGAGCCTGGTCACTAGATAAGGACTTCAGCGCTGGGGACGGTCTAAATGTGAGGACGAGGCGATGATAAGCCGTGCGTCATATAGGGGCGACGGTCGCTATACGAGAAGGGATGGCGAGCCCAATCGCTATAACAAGACTTCGGCGCTGGGAGCCGGTCTTGAGATAAATAATCACGTCGCAGTCGAGAGGCTGATCGCGATGTGCGGATGACAATGATGAGGAGCCAGTCCGAAATATGATGACGAGGCGATGATGGAGCCTATCGTCATATAGAGGTGATAGTCACCATCCAGGAGGGGATGGCGAGCCTGATCGCTAGCCCAACACACTCGGCGCTGATGAAGCCGGTGTTGGGATAGGGTGTGACGTCGTGGCCGAGGGGCCGATCGTGATGCGAGGTCGTCAGCACTATGAGGCTGATCCAAAAGTCCAAGCAGCGGTCGCCATCCGATGAAGGAATGACTGAGACCGGTCTTGGGGATAGCTAATCACGCCGAGGCCGAGGGGCCGATCGTGATGTGCGGACGAAGATGATGAGCCGATCCGATAATATGATGACGAGGCAAGAATGAAGCTGATCGTCATATAAGGGCGATGGTCACCATCCAGGAAGGGATGGCGAGCCCGATCGCTAGCTCAAGACTCTCAGCGCTGAGGAAGCCGGTCTTGAGATATATAGTCACGCCGAGGCCGAGGGGCTGGTCGTGATGCGCGGATGGCGATGAAAAGAGCCAATCCGAAATATGATGACGGGGCAATGATGAGCCGGTCGTCATATAGAGGCGATAGTCACCATCCAGGAAGGGATGGTGAGCCCAATCGCTAGCTCAAGATCGCGTTGAGACCGAGGGGTCTGCCGCGATGTGAGGATGACGGCGATGATAAGTCGTTCCAATAAATGATGACGAGGCCATGATGGGCCAATCGTCATATAAAGGCGACAGTCACCATCCAGGAAGGGATGGTGAGCCCGATCGCCAGCTCAAGACTCTCGGCGCTGAGGAAGCCGGTCTTGAGATAGATAATCACGCCGAGGCCGAGGGGCCGGGCATGATGTGAGGACGACAGCGATGAGGGGCCGGTCCAAAAATCCATGCAACGATCGTCATCCGATAAAGGAATGACTACGACCAGTCTCGAGATAAATAATCACGTCGAGGCCGAGGGGGCCGGTCGTGATATGAGGACAAAGGCACTGAGGGGCCGGTCCGAAAATCCATGCAACGGTCGCCATCCGGTAAAGGAATGACTAAGACCGGTCTCGAGATAAATAATCACGTTGAGGCCGAGGGGGCCGGTCGTGATATGAGGACGAAGGCACTGAGTGGCCGGTCCGAAGATCCATGCAACGGTCGCCATCCGGTAAAGGAATGACTAAGACCGGTCTCGAGATAGATAATCACGTCGAGGCCGAGGGGGCTGGTCGTGATATGAGGACGAAGGCACTGAGGGGCCAGTCCGAAGATCCATGCAACGGTCGCCATCCGGTAAAGGAATGACTAAGACCGGTCTCGAGATAGATAATCACGTCGAGGTCGAGGGGGCCGGTCGTGATATGAGGACGAAGGCACTGAGGGGCCGGTCCGAAGATCCATGCAACGGTCGCCATCCGGTGAAGGAATGACTAAGACCGGTCTCGAGATAAATAATCACGTCGAGGCCGAGGGGGCCGGTCGTGATATGAGGACGAAGGCACTGAGGAGTCGGTCAAAATGATGATGACGAGGCGGTGGTGAAGCCGATAGTCATATAAGGGCGATGGTCACCATCCGGGAAGGAATGGCGAGCTCGATCGCTAGCTCAAGATTCACGGCGCTGAGGAAGCCGGTCTTGAGATAGATGATCACGCCGAGGCTGCGGGGCCGGTCGTGATGTGAGGACAACGGCGATGAGGAGCCGGTCCTATAATATGATGACGAGGCGCTAATGAAGCCGATCGTCATATAAAAGCGATGGTCACCATCCAGGAAGGGATGGTGAGCCCGATCGCTAGGTCAAGACTCGCGGCGCTGAGGAAGCCGGTCTTGAGATAGATGATCACGCCGAAGCTGAGGGGCCGATCGTGATATGAGGAAGGGCAAGGCGTTGACGCCGGACTGAACATGAAGGACGGTGGAGCTGGTCCGAAGATGAGGGACGACGTTGGGCGCTCGTCTGAAGATGAGGGACGGCGCTGGGCGCTCGTCTAAGGGACGGCGCTGGGCGCTCGTCTAAGGGACGGCGCTGGGTGCTCGTCTGAGATGAGGGAAGGCGCTGGGCGCTCGTCTGAAAATGAGGGACGGCGCTGGGCGCTCGTCTAAAATGATGGACGGCGCTGGGCGCTCGTCTGAGATGAAGGACGACGCTGGGCGCTCGTCTGAAAATGAGGGACGGCGCTGGGCGCTCGTCTAAAAATGAAGGACGGCGTTGGGCGCTCGTTTAAGATGAGGGACGACGCTGGGCGCTCGTCTGAAAATGAGGGACGGCGCTGGGCGCTCGTCTAAAAATGAGGGACGGCGCTGGGCGGTCGTCTAAGATGATGGACGGCGCTGGGTGCTCGTCTGAGATGAAGGACGACGCTGGGCGTTCGTTTGAAAATGAGGGACGATGCTGGGCACTCGTCTAAAAATGAAGGACGGCGCTGGGCGCTCGTCTAAGATGAGGGACGACGCTGGGTGCTCGTCTGAAAATGAGGGACGACGCTCATCTAAAAATGAAGGAAGGCACCGGGCGCTCGTCTAAGATGAGGGACGGCGCTGGGCGCTCGTTTGAAGATGAAGGACGGCGCTGGGCGCTCGTCTGAAATGATGGACGGCTCTGAGCGCTCGTCTGAAAATGAGGGACGGTGCTGGGCGCTCGTCTAAGATGATGGACGGCGCTGGGCGCTCGTCCGAGATGAGGGACGGCGCTGGGCGCTTGTCTTAAAATGAGGGACGGCGCGGGGCGCTCGTCTAAAAAATGAAGGACGGCGCTGGGCGCTCGTCTAAG